TGTACCTATATATATAAAGTTGTGTGGATATTTATCCACTCAACTTGCTATATATCAATATATAGAAGTAGACATTTATCGAAGAGGAATAAAACTTTTATTCTCATATTCGCATGGAAAGACAAATCGTATCAACAAGTACAACTAACATGCATATGAAATATAAATACGTTTATAAGAATCCTCCATATTTATCGATACTTAAATGTAGAACGTTGTATAGACGACTAAACAAAGTAAAGTAAATACACAGTACAATTACTGTTGACCTTTATAATATAATAATAAACTTTTATGTAAGTTGGAAGTATGAAAGTCGTGTGTTTTGATAACACCAATGCCTGTTGTAATGCAAAATCGTGCATTTAGAAATTGGAGCCTTCTTTATTTAATATTTAAGAGGAAGATCCGGTCGCGAGTATTATTGGCGTTCTATCAAAGTAGTGTTATGCAGGATGGCGCTATATCGAGGTTTGACTGTACAAATACATCTCTGGATATAGTGACCATCCCATATAGTGAATAATTCAATTTATTTGGTAGTATTTTTAATACATATGGCCTCGATTATCCGGGATGAACGGGGAAAAATGTCACTCCGGCAATCTCTATTAATCTGGCATTCAGTAAACTGAACCAAGGTAAATTTTCAGCAAAATATATTATTATCCTCCCTTTCCTGTTTCAAGACAATAGCCTATAAAGAGGATGACTTAATGAATCAACCATAAGTATATTTGGCATCCTGGTTACTTTACATTTAATGCGATCCCTGATAATCGAGAGCCTAAAAATCTACTAAATGTTTTTCTTCAGTAAATTTGATAACTCCTTTACAATACAGTTAAACAATTGAATAACGACCATTGATGGAAACATCAGTGGCCGTTGTTCAGTTGTTTGACTCCCTAGAAAAAAATTATCTCAATTTAGAGATTGCCGTTATTAGCAGTTCGACTATATTTATTATTTATATCTGTATTATTTTGTATTGTTAACAATATAATTCACCACTGTAGAACGTACTCTAGGCTGAAGAAATGAGGAAAAATGGAAGATGAAAGAGAGGATAAGAAAAAGGAATTATAAAATAATACACACATTTATTTATTTATTTATTTATTTTATATATGAACATACAATTATTATAGTTTTATTAACATAAAATATTTGATATTTTTCATACAATTTATACCTGAAAAATATAATTTTATTTATCACAGTTACATGCAAATATAGTCACAAAATACAATAGTTTGGAGGAAAAAATACTGTATTATTCAAGAATAAATAATTTATTTATTTATTTATACAAATGTTTCATCTTTCTTATTTTCTAAATGAGTTATACCATTTAAAGATAGGCAAATTTTCTGTTTAGTTTTTAAGCTACCATACATAGTAAATGTTGTATAACTGGTAAGAGTGAATTGACGTTTCAAACTTTTATCATTTTTACATGAAAATAATCTTATAAAAGCATCTCTAAATCTAGAAGAAATTACGTTATATAAAATAGGATTAACAGCAGAATTAATATATAACATAATTCTACAGAAATACAATAAATTATAATAACTTTCCATTCCAAGTTCTTTCAACTGATGTTCGGGAGCAACGAGTAACCATATTGTAAATATCCTAAATGGCATAAGACATAAGAAGAAACAAAGTACAACAGCGGCTAACATAAATATAACTTGTTTTCTAGCTTTAATTTGTGAATCTGCAACGGGGGATGCTAGAACTCGTTGTGATTCCACTAATCTTTTAGCAATAATTCCATATATAACAATTAATACAATTAATGGTATAAAAAATAAGAATGTTGTCACACCAAAAAAATATATCTTTTGCCATACGTTCTGCATGTCAGTTATACAAACGGGTACTTCAGTACCATCAATGTAAGTTGTATGTTCGTATTCGGTGATGAATAACATTGGGCACGTGATTGATATTGCTAAAATCCAGATGACAACTATTATGGCCATCGCTCTCATTTTTGTGCAAGTATATCCTGCCATTAATGGTCTACATATAGCGTAATATCGTTCGAAAGTAATGGCGAGTATTGTCAATATTGAACCGTGAGCTACCATCATTTCTGTAAATGGTACGAGTTTACCTATTAAAAAAACATTAAGTTTTTTTTAGAAATATTTAATTAAAAATATAAATTTTAATTTTTTATCAGTAAAATTTATGCAAATGATTAAATTAACAAAATTTTAGTAAATTTGTAAAGTTTAAAAAATAGATTTATCTTTTAAAAATCCTTTTAAGTCGATAATTACATTGCTTTTCAATACCTTATAATTAAATCTCTATGTAGCTCCGTCCTAAATATCTTCATTCCTGTAAAATGTCTATAAATAATTGTAAAATAATCTTCCCCATAAATATAGTTTTAAATAAAGAACCCTTCGATATTTGTAAATTAATAAATGTACTATTTTTAATTGCAAATGACGATGTAGTCTTCATTAGTAGCTCACCACTTAACAATGCTAGTCCCACTCCATGTATTTTCTTTATGTGTCTAACACTTAAATACGAAAAATTTCTTGTAAAAAAAGTCCTCCAGGAAGGCATACCTTATCTAATTATTATATTCTTGTCGTTTAAAGCTTATTAAGTTTATCGCAATACTCGTTTTAATGGCAATTTACAGGTGAGCAAATGGTACGCTAAATACAGCTTTGACTGTAATATAATTCCTGTTGAGAGAAGTTATAATGCTATTAAATAGAAGTGTATTATTATTATATTGCTGTTAAGTAGTAATGTATTGTTAATTGTTTCGAATAATAATGTGTTGGTGTAATGTTCTGCTGATAGCAATATATTATTAAAACTCTACTGAGTAAAATATTGTAAATACTGTTTGTTAGCAATAATATTAACAAAATGTATTACTATCGAATGATAATATACAGCTTATATAATGCTGACAATTAGGTTTTATCACAGAGATGGCGTGCATTGTTTTACATACAGTATCTACATTGTTTAGTGGCTTTATCCATTCAGCGTGTGGTGAGGTGTAATTATATTTTAATGCTGTTTGATAGCATTAAAATATAATACCACCCCAGCATTATTATTATATTATAATTCTATTAAGTGGTAGCATATTATAATGATGTTAACAAAGGATAAATAAGCTATAAGGTCCTTAATACTGTTTGGTAGAAAGAGCTTTATACGCTATAGCATAAGGTCGTAACAATTCTAAATCCGGTCTAAAATGTTAAACCAGATGTTGAGTTATCTTTTTAATCCAGAAGAATTATTACAGATCAATATTAAAATTACGCTAGATGTTAATTATCTTGTTAATGGAATCCCATTAAAATTTATACGCATTAAATTCATAATTATGAGAAATTTTACAATAAAAAAATTAAAATAACAAATTTATTTTATTAATTAAAAATAAAATAAAAGTTAATCAATCAATATATATTATAAAGGTAAGCNGAATTTTCTATATTTTTCAACTGAAAATTTACTTTATAATCTTCTTCATGAGAATTATTAAACCATAAATAAACCATTTACTGTATATTTATGGAAAAATAATCTTAAATGATATCGAAAATACAAAAATATATCCATAAAGTTTAAATATTACATCTTAAAAATTGTTAATAAATTAATTTACAAAAGAAAAGCAAAGAAAATTTAGAAGATAAATTGTTTGAATTGAGGATATGATCCGAACCTACGACTTTCTATAATAATTTTAACAAGATTAAAAGTATTCTACTGATTAATAAGTGACTTTACGAGCCCAAAAAATGTAAATTTTAATAAAGAAATAACATTTTACTTAACAAAATCCAATAAAGTTTCAAGTAGTAAATTCAGATCTTATCCGGGATTCGAATCCATAACTTTAGTTAATAATAAGTATTAGAAACAATTAATTATTATCACAAATGAAATTTTAAACAATAATAAAATAAAATACTTACACATTACTTTTCCTAAAATCCAAACTTCTGGTAAAGAATGTAATTCAGTAAGTACAGTTGGCATACAAATAATCATAATTAGAAGATCAGCAACACTTAAATTTACCAAAAAGTAATTAGTAGAATTCCTTAATTCCTTATTCAAAATGACTATTGTAGGTACTAGAATATTACCAACAATTCCTATAATTAATAATATAATACATATTCCAGTATTTATGTATTTTATATACAAAGGAAATTCTAAATTCTCTTCTAAGAAGTCATAATCATCATCATAATATTTAACCATATTATTTTTATAAGTATAATTCATAGGTATAAGTAATGATAAATTTAAGTCCATGATTTTACACATAAAAATAGATACATTTCTATATTAATTCTGCATTTTTTTCTTGCTTTTTTAAAGAAAATAATGTCTTGTTTCTTTTTTTTTTTCAAGAGTACTTTAAGTACTTTGAAGCTTTTCTTGTTCTCAATAACATTCTTTATTAATAACGTTTAAAAATCGTTCAAGAAAACGTTTCATCTTGTTCAAATACTTTATCTGTTAAAGAAGAAGATTTATTTATTAGAAAAAAATAAAATAAATATATTAATATAAATTAAATAAGACATTAAAAATAAACATTATTACATAACATTATAAGGAATAAGAAGAGCAAAATGATCAGCATCCATTAATCATTTATTAAATATATATTATTAATTGTATTAATTTTTAAATAAGTTAATCGAAATTANATTTTTTATTTAGTTCATCTGTACACATACACTTTAAACTTGTGTTTCGGACTTGTTTGTCTCTCATCAGCAGGCATTCAAAAGACACTTTCTACATTTTTACAATTATAAAATTAATTTTTGTATAACTTCTATACAAAAGCATCATCGAACTTTGTTAGTCCAATCCACCTGGCTCTGTAGATATTCCTCCTTTTATATTCCACTTCTGCGTTGCCTAGGTAACAACATCCTGGTATCATATGGATTGTTAGTTTCTCCAAGGTTATTGGAGCACTCCTTCTCTTCACAAATTTATGTTATTTTATAAATGACTTTATTAATTACTTTACTAAATACTATAAATTTATTATTCAAGCATCTTCTAAATATAATTATAAAGATAATAATAATATTATTATTATTATTATCATCGATTTTTGTAAATATATTTAATATTAAAATGGTTAGATTAAATTAATATTCATTAAAGATTAGAAACTTGATAGTCGAGGAAATTTTATATATAAAATTTTTATAATTTAAATTATAATATAAAATAGAATATGTCTGTCTGATCGGCTTTAACGGTTCTATTGATACGAGAAAATGTATCTCGATTAACTAACTTTTGGGCCACCCTTTGGAGCT